CATCTCGCGTATACGAAGCTCTGGCTGGTAGTCGGGAGGTTTCTCGTCATAGTATGCCGCTGATACTCCAAACACCTTTATGGTGTCACTGGCTCATATTTATTCTAACACGCACTTGCACCTGCAGTTCGCCACCAAATTCACACAATCTGGATGCACTTCACAGCTTTTTAAGCACGAAGCTCTTTCAGCTCAAGGTTTGTCTCTGACGCATAAACAAAAATATTTTCGTTCTAAAACCTCTCTTTGTCCTTTCATTCATCGTCTTCTTCTTCTGTTTCACTCCCTGAACACGTGCACCAATTCCCCAGCGCCGGATACAAAAACCTGATAAGAATGAAAGAAAGGAAAAGAACAATAAAAAATCGCCAAATCTTTAAGCTTCGGTTTTAAAAGTTGAATGCGATAGCAGTGTCGTGTCCTTAGTTCGAACTTTACTTGGTGCATACTTTTTACTGTAGCATGTCCATGTCTCCAGCACGTCCATGTAAAAAATGCATTTTACATGATAAATATTAAAGTTTCGGAAGCAGATGAGATTAACTTGTTTTGGGGGATGTCGAGGCCGTGGAACACACATAATCAGGTTCAATGAAGGAATGTATAAGAGTCTGTTGGACTGAAATGAACGCAGTAAGGCTATTCACGATTATTATATTACAAAAAAAAACTACGCACTACTTTTTTTTTGCTCTTGCGTTGTGACAAGCCTTGAAAGAAACAAAAACCTAGAAGGGAGCGTCGTGTGAAGGTCTTGAAGTCCAGAAGAAAAAATGAAACATTGGCTTGCTGGGAACTCATTAAGATATCTTTAAGGCACGAGGTGCGAGTGGCTTCGGATAAGATTTCCTTCTTCATGCTAGGCGCGCCCTTTCTTAAGCCATCTTGTTCTTTGAAATTGAAAATATTTTGCAGAAGTTAAGGCAGTATATATACCGTCAATACCGTATTCTTGCGAATTGAAGCAGCACCAGCATTCATTACGATTTTTTGCTCATCAATAGAGTTTCTAATTTGCAAGATTCCAATAAATCCTCCCTGCCGCACCTCTCTTAATTCTATATTCTTGGCGCTCATTTTGTTTGCGTTAATTGTTTCACTCGTTCTCTTACCCTATAATATACAACTGGCCCTTTAACTGCTGGTGTATTTGCTTGATGAAAAAAAAATGCATGTCATCACTGTTGATCTTGCGGATACGAATAAAAGGCTTTCACTTAATGCACTTTGCCGGTCGTCGAACTTGGCTATAGCTCGTTTTTTAACGGCTGCGCGATACGCCTGTTTTGCACAAAAAAATATGATATTGTTTTTGGTAAGCGCAAAAAGGAGAATCGTTATTATTAATATAAGATATTGCTACGGTATGAGCCGGGCTGTAGTATGTGCCGGGTAGGTAGAAGAGGAAGACGACGTTGTCTGGTGCGGCCTGAGGACTTCATCTTTACCGCGACTGCCGAAATTCATCCTCACCCTGTAAATGAATCCACATAACCTTTAATTCAACCGTAACAGTTTTGTGGTGGAGGTGCTTGGTATAGATCCCAGTACCTCTGTTGCGGTGTTCGCCCCAGAATCTGCCACATCTTTTGACGCCATCGTTGAACCTGCCATCATTCAATGTGCTAAGAAAAGCATACTCGTCCCTCGTTGTTTGGTATCTGTTGATGAAGGAGCAACCTTTCTGTGAGCACTGAACTGTTCGCCAATGCCGGTTGTGCTCCCTCGAGGAATGAAGCTTGGCGTCTTCGATGATTCCACTGAAGGTTCTGTAGCGGCCGTTAACAACGATGGAAGCGAGAAAGGTACAGTCTCTGGCAAGCTCAGTTGCTCTTACGAGTCGCAGATCCTAGGTATGATTAGCGCCACTTTGTGGTCACACGAGCAGCAGACGTTACGCCATCTGTTGAGGTGACATGCTTCTGTGTTTGACTTTTGCCAAGAGAAGAAGCCACTACCTTTACCATGTTCTCGCGCTCACCATAGGATTGACACCAGTACTGCCCATCCGATTCGACAAAAGCCTTACCGAGTGTCGTCATCAGAACGAAATGTAATTGCCGACCAGGTTCAGGAAATGCTGAAGAAGGGTGTCATTTAAGAGTCGTGTAGCCCGTGGGCAGCACCGGTCATCTTGGTTAAGAAGAAATATGGTGCCTGGCGGTTCTGCGTTGATTACAGAAGACTAAACGCCGTGACCAAAAAAGATGTATATCCGCTGCCTAAGATTTACGATGTTATTGACTGCTTACACTCGGCTTCGTACTTTTCTTCAATAGACCTACAATCAGAATATTGGCAGATACCTATGCACCCTTCAGACAAGGAGAAGACCGCATTCGTGACGCCTGATGGACTGTACCAATTCAATGTGATGCCGTTTGGGCTTTGCAACGCCCCCGCCACTTTTGAAAGGTTTATGGACTCTCTCCTTCGTGGTCTTAAATGGGAGGTGTGCTTAGGCTACCTGGATGACGTCGTCATTTTTGGACGTACCTTTGAAGAGCACAACGTCCGTTTGCGCCTTGTTTTAGACTGTGTCGGAAAGGCTGGCTTGATTTCGAACTCTAAAAAGTGCCGGTTTGGTGAACGACAAGCTTTAGTCCTCGGTAACCTAGTTGACAAAGATGGTGTCAGGCCGGATTCCCGCAAAACCGAAGCAGTCGGCACATTCAAACCACCCCAGACACTGAAGGAACTTTGCAGCTTCTTGGGCCTATGTTCCTACTTTCGCTGCTTTGTGCCCCGTATCGCGGACGTAGTATACCCACTGACGAGCTTGTTGCGATAAATCAGCCCATTCGAATGGACACCTGATTGTGATGCTGCATTTTTTATACTGAAACTTCTACTGACATTAGAGCCTATTCCTCGTCATTTCGATCCTTCTGCTCCTACAGAAGTGCACAGTGACGCAAGTGGAATTGGCATCGGAGGTGTGCTTGTTCAGCGCCATGATAATGCAGAGCATGTTGTTGTTTATACGAGTCGATCTCTAAGCAAGGCTGAAATGAATAATACGGTGGCAGAGCAAGAATGTTTAGCGGCTGTATTCGCCACTGATAAGTTTCGATGTTACCTCTACGGTCGTCCATTCACGATTGTGACAGACCATCATTCATTATGTTGGCTTGTTACCCTCCGAGACCCTTCTGGCCGCCTTGCTCGATGGGCTTTACGCCTTCAAGAATTTGACTTCAGCATTTCGTACAGAAGTGGACGATGTCATTCGGACGCTGATTGCCTTTCTCGCCTGCCTATGACCATGACGGAGGACAGTGCAGGTACCCTCGACCTCTGTTTTGCTGCGGCCTCTCACACGTTTTCTGACGCCAATATCTTCAAACGAGAACAATTGAATGATTTATCTTTAGAGCCTTTGTTCATTGACGCTCGGAATCTCAAAGGCAGTGGTCGCTTTCGCATTTGTGATTGACTGTTGTGCAAAACGAATTACTCAGAAACCGGCGCAAGTTATTTACTGGTTGTACCTCAAAGTCTTCGATGCGACGTTCTCCGTACTATGCACGATGATCCAACGTCAGGACACCTTGGGTTCATTCGCACCGTGCATCGAGTGCAGCAGCGTTTTTACTGGCCTCGAATGCGAGATTTTACGAAACAATACGTCTAGAGCTGCGAGAACTGCCAGTGTCACAAACGACCTACCAGTGCACCGCACGGCCTTCTTCACCCCGTAGAACCGCCTACTACGTTTTTCGAGCAAGTGGGCATCGACCTATTGGGCCCGTTTCTGCGATCTTCGAACAACAACCGCTGGATAATAGTGTGCGTCGATCACCTTACTAGATACGCCGAAACCGCTGCGATACCATCTTCTACAGCTGATGGCGTCGATGCCTTTTTGTTACGCTCCGTTGTTCTTCGCCATGGTCCACCTCAAGTAATCATTAGTGACCGTAGTCGCCAATTCATCGCGGACGCTGTGGAAGAATTGCTTCGCCTCTGCACTTCACAGTTCAGACATTCGACACCATGCCATCCCCAGACGAATGGTTTTGTAGAACGCACCAATAGAACTTTTACTAACATGCTCGCTATGTAAGTCGCATCCAATCACAAAAACTGGGATGAGATATTACCATTTATTACTTACGCATACAATACAGCGAAGCACAAGACCATGGACTTCACGCCCTTCTACTTGCTCTACGCTCGATCACCACGCAGCTCCCTTGATACAATCCTCCCATTTAAGCTCCATACCGATGAGTCCGTGGCCGAAACATTGTGCTGGGCTGAAGAAGCCCGCCAAATTGCTCGCTTGCGCACACTGGCATCACAAGATCGCTCCAAGCAACGGTACGATAAACGCCATGATGTCATTTCATTCTGAAAAGGTGAATTCGTGTGGTTGTGGACCACCCAACGAAAACCTGGTTTATGTCAGAAGTTTTTACCGCAGTACACAGGCCTCTACATCATTGTAGATCGCGTGACTGACTTGACGTACGTTGTGGCACGCTTGACGACACTTTCTCGTCGGTCAAATCGAACGCAGTTGGTGCACGTGGCTCGCCTCTTGAAATTTCATCCCTCCAGTGACTTAAACTCGCCCAGCGGGCTTCGTCTGTGAACCGGGGATTGCTACGGTATGAGCCGGGTAGGTAGAAGAGAAAGACGACGTTGTCTGGTGCAGCCTGAGGACTCCATCTTTACCGCGACTGCCGAACTTCATCCTCACCCTGTAAATAAATCTACATATCCTTTAATTCAACCGTAACAATATGTTTACCCATCGTAGTCTACGGCAAGATACATAGTCATAAATTACATACTAATGGGGTGATAACGCCAGTGAATTGACTATGAAAAAAAAGCATGAAGTTTTTCAGTTCTACGTTCGGTGGGCCAAAAAATTGTGGTGGCACGTCAAGTAGGGTTAGGTAAGAAACAGGCCGGGTTCCATAGTTCTAAATGACAAAAATAGAAATGCTACAACAAACTTGATACTACCGGCTGATTATGCTCCCATCCAGTCAGATGCGGCTTTGACACAAGATGCGCTGGACCTTCTGGTACGTGCTGTTCAAAGGCTAGCGTCGGAACGGACACTTGCTCGACCACCTAGCGTGCAATGCCATGAGCCGCAAGCGTCACGACATAGACCACAGTCGCAGGCCTTTGTCGACGCAGTAAAACAGGTGTGGGCTCCTAATTCAAATGTCCAAAAATATGCATGCGATGTCCCTGTGTACACTATGTATACAAGACATTCCGCTACACGTGTTTCAATCTCTTTCTAATATAGTTTTAGGGGCCAAGCTCTTCTTAGCTTAACCCTGTCACTTGTCAAGCGTACCCGAGAGAAGAAGAGAAGAGAAAGAAAAAAAAAGCGAAAGAAATGAATGAGATTTTCTCGTCTCAATTCCTAGATGGCGTTACTTTGCCGCTACTCTCTGAAGTGCCGGTACTGTTCGATTGGCTGCTGCGCGTGTTTTGTCTGAGTGCACGGAGAACGAGTGCCTCTCTTATATTCTATATAGTCACCGTAGGTGCCGGATCATTGGTGGGGCATGAATGGAGCAGAGCGGCGGGTGCTTTGATTGCGCACGGCTGCCTTGGCTTGCGTTTCGTTAGTGTTACCCGCGTGCCATCTGCATTCTTGAACGCGATTGGATGCACGCACGCATGAATGGGCGGACGGACACGTGGACGGATGGATGAATGGATGGGCGCTTCGCCCCACTATTCATCATTCACGCCGTGGATACGCTGTGATATTTTTATATTGCTTGGCGCAGTGGAATTGTACACTACGTAACTTTAGGTGAATTAGAACAGCAAGGTGGGAGTTGGTGTGTTAATACTTTCAGGAACACGTACAGAACAACACACACGAAGGACAAAAAGCAAGAGACAAACGCGCGACGTGTCATTTGCTTTATTGTGTTTCATTTGTGCCCCACAGCATCTGTACACGAAGATTTATAATCAAGTCCTATATAAAACGAGACATGTTCTGATGTTAAGAGTAGTACCTTCTGTTTTATGCATTCGAGAAAAACCGAACATGATACCGGAATCTCAGAGCGTGCTAATTTAATTAGTAGGAGAATTTAAGGCGTGCGGCATTGAAGTATTTAGTACTGGCTCTGGCGCTCATTATGGTCTTCCCCAGGCACTTCAGATTGGCAAAATGGCTATCCGTTTATGAATAAAAAATGCTGATTGTGTCTACGATAAAATAAAGAAGCTTTCAGCTGCCACTTAAAATAATTTTTACAGAATTTCTTAACTGCTGTCCGTTACCATAACACACTCAAATATTTTGGATGTAGTACAAATTATGAATACATACACACGCCTTTATTCAGTGGTAGTATACATATGCTATGTAATTCAAAGAAGGCACTCCCAATTACCACGCATCTATGCGCGAATCAGGCACGGACTTGAAACACGTTGGACAAGACTTGTGCCTACTACCAGTAAATTTTATTCGGAAACGAACAAAAGCATATATATGATTTCGTATGCATGCATGACCAACTAGCGCCTACAGAAGCTTTGCAGTTAACAGGTGTCTATCTGACATCAACCTTCAACACAATCGGGCTGGTTCCTGATGTCGTTCACCAAACATCCCTAATATATTAACCTTAATGTGTGCCATGGCACTTCCCGCACATCTGTAAAAGCCGCAAACACTAGGTGTCAATGTGCAGCACACTGCAAAGACACATAATATTCTGTATTGCGATAAATATGTCCCGTACAAATGCACCAGTTTCCGACAAGCGCCGCTACTGAAATCAAAAGTTAGTAGAAGGAATGACGCCTATCACGTTCAAAAAAGTCACACTGATACCCTGCTTTTGATCTGAGCTTCTGTTTAAGTATTTCCTAGTCCAATGTATTCTCGGTGTGTAGATATATCTGAATCTTTTTTTTTTTCTGTCGTATAACAGCAGGACTTCACTCTGTACAATCAATCTTATGAGTTAGTGAATGTTGAAAATAAGCTCCGAATGGAACAGATAGATTCTTTCTTAACTGACAGGCGTTCTTGCTGCTATCTTGTTTACCTTGTCTTATTATCGAAGAATGTTCGCTACTTTGCAGTAACAAGCTTTTCGTATTGTGGTTTTTTGCAGCTCTGAGATCCTTTGTTGCATTCGAATATAACACATTATTTTAACGGCTGAGCATAAGAGCTCCAACATTGTTTCTGACTCAGCCAAGTGTGTCAGGCTGTGATACCAGGGGAGGATTATAGAATCGATGGGTAAGAGGATTATGGAAGGACCCCTCAGCCGAATTCTTGCGGGAAAGCCTTATCTTTGCTCACATATACGTATCCTTTCAAAAAGATACTTAGTTTTGAAAGCGGAGAAAGTCAGGTAACCGACTCGTAGCTCGTTGAGGTAAACAGCGCAAAACACGAAAACAGAGCATAGGAAGGACACAAGACGAGCGCTGGTGGAGAACTAGGTATTGAGATATAAAAAGAGAGCCCTGTTTACTGGAAATGGCGCTGCATCAAGTTTCTTTTTGCTGAGCAGTATGCACTCTAATTTCATTATTTTTCTTTAAAGCGAAGCATTTCTTTGGCGAATTATAGCATATCTATCTATCTATCTATCTATCTATCTATCTATCTATCTATCTATCTATCTATCTATCTATCTATCTATCTATCTATCTATCTATCTATCTATCTATCTATCTATCTATCTATCTATCTATCTATCTATCTATCTATCTATCTATCTATCTATCTATCTATCTATCTATCTATCTATCTATCTATCTATCTATCTATCTATCTAGCCGCTTACAACCTTAAGCTCTCCTGGTCATTTCGGTAATGGTATCGATACCAAAATTGGTATGACATAACAAGACTGTTTAATGAGCATAAACGCGCACTAAAACATGAAAATTTTGACATCTCTGTTTTGAATGTGATGAGTTACATTTCATGGTCTTGCTGCTGTTGCGGCTGTTTCGTTCACGTGACCTGTTGCAAAACTAACTGGCGTAGTATGACAAGACTGCATGGCGAACACAAGCGACAGACCCTTATCATAGAAATCATGACACGGATGTCATGTAACAACATGACTACACGCCACACTCATGATGCGCTCGCAGCCGTTTCATTTGCTTCACATATACCAAAGTACATATACTACATATATACTACAAAGTATATATACTAGGCATATTTCATTGCATAAAGCAATGAACTATTCTTTATGTGAGTTTTATATAGAGGTAACATCATATATAGAATTCAGGGAGCGCACAAATATGGTATATATCAACACTTTTTGAAAGGTCGTGAATTCATAATTGCTGTGCAGATTTAAAAAGCTGCTGCCCTTTTAACGCTCAGAAATTGTTTTCACTCTCCTTGTTATGTAATATGTTTGCGCTCAGTACGCCGCTTGACAGTTTGAAGCATCCCTTTTTCTACTATTAAGAACTAACAGACAATAATGCCATCGAAAGCATAGGGGATGTTAATATAGGTAATTGTAATGTAAACTGAAAAAGAAAAGCGGACAGAAACATAACTTGCCTGGCAAGTTATCTTTTTGTCCACGTTTCTTTCGGCAAACTTATATTACAATTACTTGTAATACATTCCCCTATCCTTTTAAGGCATTATTGTCTGTTAGTTCTCAATAATAGTGCATCTAACAAAACAAAGGAGCCCTTCAGTTTACGCTTTCCTCCGTTTTGTTGATGCATGTTTTGCCGTGAGAAGGTCGCGGGATGTTTGCCGAATATCTTCGAAAGTTTTGGAGTAGCCAGCACAGTAATTGTGTGTCGAAATCCACCCACATGTTAAATTTGCGTAAGACACGTTCATAGTTTTTAACGAACTAGCCCATTTTCTAGCTTATCCTCACATCAATAAAACAAAGACATTATGCCTGCATCAGAAGTTGAAAATTGCCACTAAAAATTGTATAACTCAAAAAACATTCCGGCATATATACGGAGTGAAATGATGTGTGGGGCGAAGCGTCCACTTGTTCTTCCGTCATTCTGTTTCTCCATCCGTCTGTCCGTCCGTTCATCTGCCCGCGTGTCTGTCTCTCTGTCTGTCTGTCTGTCTGTCTGTCTGTCTGTCTGTCTGCGAAAAATCTCGAACGATGCGAGCGATGGGAGCGCCATCTAGATAACAGGTCGCGTACAAGGGGCGGCTACGAGAGACAGCTGCGGCACTTAAGCGCTTAAAGAACTTCTACCTCAAAACAAGTGAAACAGTAAAAACGACTCTGTGTTCTAATTCGCTCACCGTATTCCCTTTGCTTGTTGCAGGCACAAATTTCAGGACTCACCGGGTCGATTCAAGTGGATTCGATTGGACGCCGACATAATATTTCTCTGCAAGTTGTCCGGATGAAGCGATGGGGACTGGCGTCGGTTGGTGCATACTAACATCTGATTAGTTATGCTTCGTCAACAGTTTTAACGCCAATCATTGTAGACTACTCCCTAATACTTCTTATTTTACTACAGCTGAAAAATAGCAATGTTTCTTTTCTAACAGAAGAGGCCCTTATGTAAGGGCATTTAGGATATTGTAAGGTGGATATTTGAACGATAGCTATGCATTCACTCATAATGGTACAAAACAAAATATGATGTTAAACGCTAACAAGGTTTATTAGTTGCGCTCACAATACGCGGATTTTAACTTAATTTTTCGCCAAGTCAAATGTACGACTTTTGCTTGCTGCATTTTGGGAGGGGAAAGAATATTTAGCATTTTTCCAGCAAACGTAGTTATTTTAGTGATCACCGTGTTCACTAGGACGCATCGGTCCTTTACCGTCTGTTTCGATGCCTTAGTAATTAACTGCATGGATCTGCGCATGATTCCCCATGAAGAGTGTAGAAGGTGCTTTAGGCGAAGGTTAATCTTCACACCCATACCTCTTCCTACAATGTTTATGTATGGGGAACATCTTGAACACCGCCTCTCTAGGTGACCCCTGAACCACCCCGTGAGCCCACGCTCACTGCTGAGTGTTGAAAAGTTGGAGAAATGTGAGTAACGGTACGCGGGCTTTAAATCGAACTGAAATTATTCTCTGGATGTGATGTTAAGAAGTAGCTATGTGCATTTGTTCATAGCTACAAATTTTTTCTATGTGTTTAAAAAAAGCTTTCCTGTATAAGGCATCTGTTTTTTAACCGCAATGAAAAATATTCTCGAGTTTGGGGAAACTCATTATGTCTCCTCGTAATAAGGACTTCTTTTGTTATGAGTATTTCCTTGTGACTTCGTGCTGGCAAACGGGTTGTTGTCTTTTTTTCCCTGTCTTATCATTCTGCCACCTAGTGGGTTTCACAGAGCTCATTTGCAATTCTCTTTTCTTCTCGATAGCATCTGGCAACACTGGCGCTAACGTAAGTGTCAGGAAGAAGGACAAGTTTATTACGCTTAAAACTTCATTTGCAAAACAAAACACGTTTGTTCAAGTAGTTGAGAAATGACTTCCAAGCTCTATAACACATCTGCTTCGGACACGACATATGATTTGCCTACTTGCCGGGCCTGGCCCAGTCCTAATTTTTGTCGATGCGGCCTCATCAAGTGTGATGCCCATGGGCCGGCTTTCAGCTCTTTCATAGTAAAGCATCAAGTACTCTAAATTGTTAACAACTTTTTCTAAATACACATTTATTACTGTGAACTGTGAAGAACTGTCCATGTTGTTTTCGAAGAACATTGGTATTTGCACTGTCACGCATTCTCATAATTCAGCTGACTCCCTCAAAGAGACGTGAACAAAAAAGCTTTTTAGCAATGACACAATTACAACTTGAAACTTGAAACTTCATGCTACAAACACGTGCAAAAAATTCTATACGTGAGTGCGCAGTTTCAATTCTTCTTGCAATTTTTGCTTCGCTGATGCAACCGCAAACCATATTTGTCCGAGCCTGTCTGTCTCTATGAAGGAGACGTGCATAGAGTGTTCGCTAGATGATACTTCTCCCGCGCTCTTATCAGCCACTTGCATCGTATTTCCACTTCGCATCCCTTTCATGGGGCAGCTCCCCAATTCACAAAAAAAACAGCAGATGCTTTAAAGGCACAAAGAACGTGTCTAGCATCACGATAAATGTTTGAAGAAACATGCCTTGCTTCTGAAAGATGCTTGCAAGATTCTTCGCCTGTGCTTGCTCGGCTGCGCAAGAAGGGCCGATGGCGGCGAAACGTGGCAAAAATTGGTGGTCGTTGTAGGAGCAGGAAATCAATGAAAAAGCATGCACTAACTGAATGTTGAAAATCGTGAGAAATTAAAGAGTATCTAGCACTTTTAGCACAATTAACTCCTTACCTCTAGCAGCTGGTGATTTTATAAAAGTGAGCTCTAAACGGAGAAAAGCTGCAGCAATATCACTATTGTTAGCGTGTCGCCGCAAGGCATGAAGTCATCATGTAACAGTGCAACCTAGTTTTTGAAAAACATGAAAAACAATCTATAGTCTGTTTACAATCAAATTCGAGCTTACCTCAACGCTCTCGCAGTCCTACTAAGATAACTTCTGACCCATGCAATAAAGCTTGATCATTCCTGTGACGTCAAACAAGTTTGGTATTATTCATGTAGATGGCTTTTCCATAGGGAGAAATGTTCGTGTTATGGTTCACGTTCTTCATAAGATTTCGGCAGTGAAAGTTAAGAAAAGCTTTCGGAACCACTCCCGAGAAAACGAAAAATTTGAGTCGGTATAACCAACATTTCAATACTGATCAGCGTAATAGTTGTTTACAACATAAACGAGAAAGTATTTACGGCCACAACGTAAACCCTCTTGCACGGCTCTCTTTCACATACAAATGACAGACGTGCCGAAGTACTGGGGATAGAGCATTCTTAGGTTAGAACTTGTTACTTTGTTAGAACACACCCTATAAAAATAGGTGAGGGCGCGAACAGTCTATATTCGGAGGTGGAATAAAATGCTCTGCAAAAGTTGCCAAGGTTTGACATTTAGGACATTTTAGAAATTGGTGAATATTTCAGAGGTTGTGCAAACATTTTCTATCACTGTCACTTGCATTCCACAGAGTGATCAGGGTCGTTGCTCTACTGCAGTGTGGATTACGTGCGTTTGGCACACATCATCTTTAACATAAAAGTGAGAATAAAAAAGACAAAAGTCATGAGTGAGAACTTGAATTGAAATGCCTTTTCCCTCTAACACGCATAGTCTGCAGCCTAAACAGTCTGTGTCTAAGCTCAATGCAATGATTCACGTACGGGTGTTATTTTTGTGTAACTATGGCTTGATATTTGCTTATTGAAGTTGCTAAAGTCTTTGTTATATGCCTGCTGGCACGAGAAAGATGATTCCGTGTTATGATCATCTGCATTGATCTGAGGGATATCTTGAAGAAAGAATTAGTGGTAACTGCAAGCCATCATGCACAATCTATTTAAAAAAGAACCCTCAAATAGGAGCCGTAAGCTCCAGTAGAGTGCGATAACGTCGGCTTGTTTGTTTCGGTACCCCGTAGTCTGTTTTGTTTGAATTAGATTCTTATTATATTTATTCATCATCGTAATATCAATTACGATTTGTCATTGTTGCCATCATGTAGCGATAATTTTCCATCCCTCGTGTTGCCGTCAACGTGGGGCGCAGGTCAGTTTTCACGCTTTTGAGGCATCTAAAGTTTTATTGTTAATAAAAGTTGAAGGAAAAGGTAAGAAAACTTGTGTGGCATTTCTGAGTGCCAAACAGCTCGCGACGCAGTCAGGGGGGGGGGGGGGTGAAAGGGTGACCAATCCTATTCAAAATGTCCAGCACCACTTGAGCCTCGACGCAGATAATAACAATGTCGTCGCATCATATCTACTTGTTTATGGCCATGTTACAAACCAAACAATTGAAGTAAAACGTAGTTCTTTATCTTGTTGCATTACGATTCCACGTAGGCTCTTAATAGGGGTACCTTTATGCTCATACAAAACTAAATGTAAAATGAACGCATCTTGAGCTTGCTTAGTAAATGGCAAGATTAATCTTCCTAATTCCTCATTAAGTATGCATACTTTGTGTTATAGCAGTATATTGCAAAACAGTATCTAAATACTATACTGTCATCTGGGACACCAACACGGGCTTGTTCATTTGACAATTGGATGACATTTACCCTCTGTTTTAAACATTATCTTAATCAAATTGGTAAAATATAATTTGCATATTATCATTACCAGAGGGGGGATGGGACAGAGGAAATCTTTTTTTCTCCTTGCTCGTCCTAAGTAAACTATTGCACCATAAATAAAGTCCATCAGTAATGAATTGATAAGTAATTATTTAAATAATAAATAGTTCGTTCATTCACATAGCATTGTGTCCGGGGTCACACTTTTTTATCATTGCAACAGGCTACAATCTCTTGTATGTGCTAAACATTTTTTTTTATTGTGGGCAATGCCTATCGCACGACAAGTTTGTCATTACACTGCACCAGCATATAAATATTTGTGAAGGGTATAGTGTGGCCACATTACCTACCCAGTCGTTTTCTTTTTATTACTGAGGTCGGAACATGGAGTGCCTCCACCGGTCTCACCATGGCCCAGACGGAGAAGATCTTCCAGCAAGAAATCTTGAGTGCACTGAAAAACAAAACTTTCAGGATTACTGCAATATTGGTATGCTCGCAGTCTTCCTAATACAGTGTATCTCATGTCTGGAAGCCTATTTCCTGTTGGAACCATGTATGCTTTCATCAAGCTTATTGCAGATTGTCTATTCACCTAAATGTTTTCATAGATGTGCTACTTGTTCACAAAACCAGATATCCTCTCATTTATACTGACAGCCGTAAAGTTTAGAAAAATAATTGTGGGCTGTAATCATGAACAAGCTAATTAACCTCACAACTTAAGGGCAAAACTTAAAATAAGTGGTTGTACCTTGTACCTACTGCCGCGAAGCTGTATCTATACCATATATTGTTTACAAGATTAGGCCCAGGCATTCTATTACAGGTTGCAGTTATTCTAATTGCAATACGAGTTATGCTACCATCTTTTCTACCTTCTGTACGTGCCTTGTCCTGCGCTTTACGAACGTCATGATTAATCTTAAACTTACAAAACTTGTAATCTTTATGCCTTATTTGCATGACGAGTTTGAAAGGGAAGCAAAATTGTTACAACTAAAGAATGTTGTGTGTTTTAAGTCTAAAAACATCACGTGGTAACAATGGAGCTAATGTTATTTTTTGGTTATCTTAACGAACATAGTGTGAAAGTGAGCGTCCACTCTTTTTTCGAGTATATTTGTGGACGCGGAAATGGTGAAGACTTCACGAATTGCCACGACAGCATTCGGAAAGCCAACTGAATTGTCTTATATAACTGCTTGTAGAAGCTTTAAGTGAAATTTTCTCGTCCCAGAATGCGCCTTACGTTATGGAAAAAGGGCCATTAGAGAAGATGGTGGGTAATGATCGCTTCGAGGGATTCTGCGTGGATCTGCTCCGAGAAATGTCCCGGCTCTTGGGCTTTCACTACCAGTTGCGGCTTGTCAGAGATGGCGCCTACGGCAGCCGAGACTCCCATGGTCAATGGAATGGCATGGTCCGTGAACTACTCGACATGGTAAGACCACAAACGTTTCTTCGCCTACGTGACTTCACTTATAAGATTGCTGCGGATACGAAGCACCTTTTTGTAAGCAATGCATAAAAAATCGAATTGTTCGTGGGCTTCACAATGCTTTGAAAGTAAAAAGAGAAGCCGGCACTGCGCGATACCGTGCCTCTTCGTGCACGAAAAAAAATGCTGTATAAAAAAGAAGGAAGCTTTAGATCATGCCATTTCTTGGCATTGGCCCTTGTGTTCAGTACTTTTGTATGGCTTATGTTTCTCTTTGGCAGTCCTGATGGGGAGAAATATTTTAGAGTATAGGGCTATCTGTATGCTGTGATCGCATGCTGTCGAAGCCTAAAATAATAATATCTGGAAATGAAGTCCCAAAACCACAATACAAAAATAAGGGACGCCGTATTAGAGGGCTGGAGTAACGGAGGTAAAGTCAAGAATGGAATAGTGATCTCTATCAAAGGGAGCGCACGCTCCCGCCGACAAAGTGCCTCTTTTCCCGTTTAAGTTCGATTGCCTTGACGACGATAAGTTCAGAGCTCTGAAGGGACCTCGGTTGTGGTGTGAGGCCGTATGCTGTGGTCGCTTGCTATACGCAGGAGATACCGTGTTTAAAAATGGAAAAAAGAAGAGGAAGCAAGTGAGAAATAGAAATCAAGAAGAAAAATTGTAAGAAAAAGAGAAGAAGCCACAAACAGAAAACTCAATGGAGTCAGAGGAAGACACAATAAACGTAAATAAACAGAGGGAAGCTAATAAACACAAAAAAATGTGGCTGATTCGCCTATCTAAGAATCGCTGTAACACGAAACTAAAGCGTCTCCTCTTAGACGGAGTTTAGCGCTTATTTTGCATTGTTTCAGCAACAGGAAGAATTTGGAAGTCGCGGCGAGAATGGCAAGCAGCTTTTTCTTCTTTTTTTCTGCATTCTTTCGTACATGCTTTTCAACGTCGCTTCCATGACGGAAGTACGTCAGCACAGCCATGGTGCACCCCGGCATCAAGCATTTAAGTGTTATAATTCAAGGAAACAAAACCCCCAGCCCAGCACCGCATGCCATTGAGGCTTTGCACCACTCGTGTGAAATTTCCTGAACGTTACCACATACTTTTTTAGTGTGCATTGGTTTATAGTTTTAGAGAATAATGGTGTGTTTATTAACGCAGCGCTTATTGCAGGGTGATTCCACGAGAGGTCGACAGGGGTCCAAAAGTTGATATTTTAGATTTCATTGAAGATTTTATATTTCGTGCACCTGTCACTAGGTAGCCCGAAAGTGAACTTCGTTTTATGATTAACGGCATAACTTACGAGAAAACAAATATCAAACTTCAACATGGAGGCACCAATTTCTTCACCTGTCATTTTCGAAAATTGCAGATACTATAAAAAGACGAATATTTTTGTTCCAAGGAAGATATTTTTTACCTAAAATGCATGTCTAATGAAGAATGAATTCATACAATTTCGAGTTTGTAGACGTTAAGAAAATAGCTTTTAAAAATGGCTAATTTTGCGACAGTTTGAAATAAGTTACGTATTCCCTATTTTTTTTCTCCGGAAGTAATGCAAGCAGCGTTTGCAAACTTGACACGTTTCAAGGATATAGTGTGTTCATTAGGTACATAAGTTATTGCTGCCGTAGGGCAAATGTAAATTTTTATGTATTGCATCAAAGTTCTCATACTGGCAAAAGTGTACTCCACTGAAATGTGAATAATAAAAAACACCATCTTCGATTTTTCTTAAAATCTCGTTAATTGACAACCGAAGGTCATCATACAGTAATACAAAAAACATGTTGCATTATTTTGTTTTTAGCGACAATATTCGTGGTACAAATCAGAGCTTTTCGAGAATGCGCTGATAAGTTGAGAAATCTACAAATCGGAACGGAAAAGTGGCAATGAGCTTTAAAGGCGAGTAAACGTGACCGCATTTGGTGAAGAAAGGCTGTTTCAGCAGATGTGAGTATTTATTTTTATTATTTATTTATTTATGGATACTGCAATCCTAACATAGGGTTTTGGCAGGGTGGATATACATTTGATAAATTTACAAATCGGCAAACAAATAAATATAAAACAGGTAAGGCATTTACACACTTTAAGAACGAAAAAAAAAAGAATAGTGGTTTGTAATAAACTGGCATAAGAGCATATAGAGAAATGAGCACCACATTCAAGATGATCACAAGTGGAGAATGGTTACAGTGATTGAAATAAACAACAGGAGCACATGTCTTAGAAATTACACTCGCTGCTAGAGCTGCGCAGCAAGAAGGTTCAAGGATGACTGGGAAACAACTTCGTTACTAAGGTTATCCCATTCGGTAATTGTCCTAGGAAAGAACGAATGCTTGAATGTGTTATTACGGGGTAAATTGGGGTTATTGTAAAGGCATGCCTCTGCCTTGTGGTATATCCTGTAGACAAATGAAGTATATGCGATAAGTCCAACTTAAATAACCTTCAACTAACTGAAAGAAAAATTTCAATCTCAATCATTTATTTCTTTGTATAGGTGTTGGGAGGTTAGCTTTTGCTAATAAACATGTTATTAAAGTACGATCAAAACTGTTATAAATAAACCTAATAGCTCTGTTTTGAATTTTTTTCATTTCGCTGTTATTTTTCTGGTGTAAGGGTACGAAATTATGGATGCATAATCTAAAGTAGGTTGAACAATTGCATTAAATGCAACAAGGCGAACGGCGAGAGTGGAGGGCTTAAAAGCTCGTCTAAGATAAAATAATTTGTAATCGCACGAGCTTATTAACTATTTTGAACACGGTATTCTACAGTATCTGAATTCACTCTTATACGTAGAGCACTGAGACTTCTAGTATGTGGTGCCTCTCCATTACTGACACACAGAGGAAGCTGCTGGGACGGCAATGTGTTTGCAACACGTTGGGTAAGAGAATTGAATGTTGAATGAGTTCATAAACGATTTCTAACAAAGCTTTATTATTTGGGGCCCGAAGACTACCGCATTACAAAAACGAACACGCTTTAGGGCAAGTTGTCATCCGTCGTCTGCTCTGCAGATGAATTGCTGTGCGGCGCATCTCGGAGGCAATGCTTTAGATTATATGGTTCAAAGTAGGGAGAAAGATTACGCCTCCCGTATTTTTATCAACAAAAACATTGTGAAATTCATTTTAACGTTCTATACTTCAGTTTTGCATTCGCACTGTGAATACTTGCGTACAAGTATCCACAAACTTGGTCTACAAACATGAAACCGTATGAATTCATTCTTCATTAGTCATGCATTTCAGGTAAAAAATATCTTCCTTGAAAGAAAAATATTTGCGTTTTTATAGGATCTGCAATTTTCGAAAATGACAGGTGACGAAATTGGTGCCTCCGTGTTGGTGAAGTTTGATATTTTTTTCGCGTAATTTATGCCGTTAATCATAAAACGAAGTCGGCTTTCGGGCTACCTGGTGAGAGGTGCACGAAATATAAAATACTTAATGAAATCTAAAATATCAACTTTTAGACCCGTGTCGATCTCTCGTGGAATCACCCTGCAATAATAAAGTTTACAATATTGCATTACTGCTAAGCGTCTGGTGAATATTTCAACTTACCTGTTGTGCAAAAAGTTCGTTTCAAGGTGATATTGTGTAATTATGTGCACGCTGCTGACTTTGATCGGCAGTGTGCACTATTTTATATTGGTTGTACTATTATTATATTGGATAAAGAGTGAAATATCATTGTTTCTATGTTAATCAAGAAAAATGTCGTAGATGGAAAGCTGTACGTAAGCTTTTGGCCGCAGTCGTGTAGTGGTTATAGGATATATATATATATATATATATATATATATATATATATATATATATATATATATATATATATATATATATATATATATATATATATGAGATATAACAGACAGTAATGCCAAGGAATGTACAGGGGAAGTTATTAAACCAATGGAATGTAAGTAAGAAGAAAGAAAAGTGGATAAAAAATAACCAGTTCACGGCTGGTTATTTTTTCATCCACTTTTCTTTCTTCTTATTTACATTCCATTGGTTCTAATAACTTCTCCTGTACATTCCTTGGCATTACTGTCTGTTATATCTCTATAATATTGTGTTAAAACAAGGAAAAACGAGCCCTAAGGTATACACTTCTTTCCCTTATATATATATATATATATATATATATATATATATATATATATATATATATATATATATATATATATATATATATATATGGTGGCTGCTGAACCGACAGCCGCCGGTTGAATCCTGACCTCAGCAGTCGCATTTCCTTCAAGCTACACTAATGCCAGAGGCCTGCATGCTGTGCGACGCTAGTGTACATTAAATGCCTCCAGACGATGGGAATTTTCGGAGCTTTCCACTATGGCATCACACATAGTTGTATCGTGATTTTGGCGTGTTAAACCCTGAAACAGTATTTGTATTTTAATATATCCTACATTGATTGAGATATATTATTCTAATTTCTATTTAGGCTGCTCTGTGGTCTTTTCATTTATACAGCATTTGTGGCAATTCCATGAAATATCGCGCTCTTCTTGCAAGAATATAGATGTACCCCTTTCTGGTTCTATATGCCATATCGAAGTGTGGTCGAAATCCGAGAATGTTCGTATACCACACAATAACAGCACGTTTAAGACTATTGTAAAAATACTCCTACACTCGTTCGTTTTATATAATCCAGCATTAGCCACAGAGCAGTGTCTAATGCGTGTTCAATTAACGTACGATGTTAACGGGCTCATCACTTCTGCGTTCTTAGAAGACCAGAAAGAATATTCCTTGATTTGTGTCCATAGCGGATGTAGAGGTCATACATCACATCTGCACCAATGATGCAATCAGCTGATGCTTCAAGACGCTTAGTCTACTAACGCGAGATTGTTATTGAGCTCGTGTCGCAGAAGTTTTGGTTTCAGTGTCGGTGTCTTTGGTTGTGACCGAAAAATCAGCGTTGTACATCACCCATAATTCTGCATAGAGGCAAATGAGATAATGAAATTTTTGAGGTTTGAGTGAGGATACAACACAGGCCACCTTTGTGGCAAGCAGGTAGTCTGCTACCAAGCCACGTTATTTGTTCGAAAGCCGTTAAAAAAGTTAAAAAGAAATTCACTACAGGAATGTCATGTAGTAGAAGCTAGGAGTAGTCTTAACGCGTCATACATTGGGTTACAGGAGCGCATACTCGCACGAGGTGTCGATATATGCTATTTTTGAACGAGTGGGTATTTCAAACATCTGCCCATTACATAGTGCACTGCCATGTCTTAACGTCCGCATCAGCTATAAAAGTTTTAACAAAGTGTGCAGCTCTGTCAGTTAACGCGTAGCCTTAGTGCGTATCCGTATAGGGCCCTTTTCTAATTCACAAAATGAGTGAATATAGTTCAGTGGAAGCCGCACAGATATTTTGCAGCAGGCATTCTGAAATAGTTTGAAACAGCCATTGTCCAAGTGAGCCGTCAATCGATTGCTTACGTAACGCACCTAGAATCGAAGACAGGCTCTGTAGTATTTGAGAAGCAGAAGCGCATGGGGCTCGACCACACTATAGAGATCTACTCTCGAAGACGTAGCTTTCTATTGCAAAACATGCGTTGTCGTCTGCCAACTTGAGTGCCTTACTCTAACTTGGTGACCCAAACTTTTCAAAATCCGACGATGAGTGCGACACACGCAATATGAATGAAATATCAATGGTAAAGCACTGCACTGGAGTGATGATAACGCTTTTCAAGCTCACTTGCGAGAACCTTGCTGTACAGAACGGGAAAAGAATTAAAAGCGACCGCCACAAGAATTTCATTGAATCTTTGTTAGTTTCCAAATGGTGATCGGTGGACTGCATAGCAACAGCTGGTAAGACATGTAACAGCACTTCTGCATAGCTTTTAGTGAAACATGAACCATCTACGAATTTTCGTCTGTGACCTGCGGAAGTGTTGTCTAATCTTGTGAACTTTCTATGCTTGCGCAAGTCTAGAAATTCGGCACCATTTCGCAACGAGGCTTCGTTGAAAGATGGCGCTCTGTCCCCTTGTGTTGGTCTGCTGGGCCGTTTTTGTTTCCCATAATGGGCTGTACCAACGATGAACCAATATACGATAAAAATACTCAGTCAATCTTCAACACTTCCGGACTCCTTTGGCATTAGTTATTCTCTTATCGCGCTGCTTTCATGAATCTGGGCTACGTCGAATTGTTCTGCCGTATTATGCTAACTAGATACGCACGTCGTTCATCAAATATTTACTGAGCGTTGAATTTTGGTCCTATAGCTAAATCCGAGTTGAAAGACACAGTAACAAGATATTTCTTGTTATTTTTTCTGCTTGCCATACGGCACCTAAAGTATCCTTTTGCAATAACTATTCACTAAGAAAACGTAATCTCAACAGCTTCAGACTTCCGAATACTCAGCTTACAGGCTGCCGCGGGGTTCTTTGAAAAAATATTCTATGTTCCTCTCTTTGCAAAATAATGAGGTTCGAAACCATACAACGTTCAAATATGTTTTTTTATTTCAATGCTGTCTAAAGACATGAGAATACACTTTAATTGCCGTACAATATTCAGGAAGTTCAGTTTTTTTATCTTTCTATGCGCTGTTAGATTGTGTATTTCTAATACGCTTCAATACGATGCTTATACATGAAAAAAAAAACCCTTTCTGCATTTTGCATATTACGCAAAGACTATCTACCAATGCCGAATACACCACTGAACAGAAAGCTTCTCAATGTTACATTGACGTCTTTTTGTACGATGTTTTCTGTGCTTGTGCCGGTAGATGAAAAGAGACTCGTAGCTCGTAGTCAGGGACACGTTTCCGTTGTTACTAACCGAAAATTCGAAACTATAAACCGTTGCCGGGTGTGCGAACCTATTTACTGACAACCTGATTTACACGAGAGTCGTTATGGGAATACCAATAGATATGAAAAGCCAGCACCGAAATCAAGTTATGGTATGGACCAGTTTGCACTAGTTTTTGCTGACCGAGAAGTTAAGCCAGCTTTGCACTTGCGGTTCCAACTACGGCGAAAGTGGGTATGCATGCTCCATCATTATAATGTTTTAGTTTCCAGTTTTTATCCTTCATTCTACTCGTAAATTGTACGTGAGGTAATCGCAAGAAACACAGGCTATAAATGAGCTGCTTATTTTTTTAATCACAGGAGGCTGACTTGGCGATTGGCGACCTGACCATCACCTACGCCCGCGAAGCAGTCATTGATTTCACCATGCCTTTCATGACTCTCGGAGTGGGTCTTCTGTACCGGAAACCCCAGCATGACCACTCGCTGCTCTTCTTCCTGTCCCCACTGTCCACAGATGTGTGGTTGTGCGTCGCGGCAGCTTATGTAGTGGTCAGCTTGTTGCTCTGCTGCGTGGCTCGCGCGGGAGGGGCCCGCTGGAGAAGCAGCTACATCTCAACAGGACAGTGCTGCTGGTCGTGCCAGGGAAGTCCTATTTGTGGCGGGGGCGGTGGGTATGTCGCCCGCAGTGATTGCGGTAGTGCGGGCCTCGATGTCGTAATGGCCGGCCGATCTGGCGAGTTGCGGTCACGTCATTGCGGACGGATATTCAGTGATGAGAGAAAACACGATGAAGTGAGAACGGCTAAGAGCCAGTTCACTCTCCTAAACAGTCTATGGTTCACCATGAGTGCAATCATGAGACAAGGCTGCGACACTTCCCCGAGGTAAGTTCTTTTCTCAATATTATAGCGCCTGCGGTAAACTTGAGGCACAAAAAAAAAAGTTTTCATATGAGCACACACTGAGCATATTCTGCAGTATAGTTCGTGGTATGCTTCCTGTAAATGATACCGTCTATGTCATCCTCGTATTGAACAGGCAGTAGTCTACTGTCAAATTTATTGCGCTGATTTAGTGCTTATTGTTCGGTGCAAAGCAATTGCAGTCGTCGGTGATTCATGTAAAATGCAAAGCGGAAAGGCAACGTTTCGAACAGTTCATTGCGGGTGCTCCGTTACGTATTCACAAACAGAACCAACGAAATGTGTACAAAGTTGTGTGGTTCTAATGCTGAAGCTCAACGGCAATGTATATGTACATTTCAGCCGACTGGCATATCACTGAAATGATTTTTTGCATAAAAAGGGGAGCGGCATGTCTTATGGAAAAGTACGAGCCATGAAGTCAAAAGCTAGAGATGCTTGAGATTTGCCTAAGAGCAGAATACGAAGGCATAAACTGAACCATAATATTAAATTTAGAGCAGTAGAAATGACTTGAAATCGAGAATGTTGTCTGAAGAGATAAATTTTTTTACTGGGTGCTATTTTCACAAAAGTGCGTCAGAATGAGTTTCAGTGCCACTGGAGTGATACAGCGCAGCCTAGACTGAGCATGTATAATGATGTTGGCGGCACATGACAAACTCAAAAGAGAGTGATGACTCAATACACTGGGCATTGCAATGCCCCTTTCACTGCTTCGGACCTGCCATGGAGACGCGGATTGGAGAATGCCCCTCGATGCAATATCTTACACCACCATTTTTATACATAAAATTTGCACCTTCTAAGGAAAGAACATGCCGCAAACGTTCCATCATCGTTATGGCTATTACGCGCCGAGGTTGCCTTTTGGGAAAGATTTGGCCCGGTGCGTTTGCAGTGATTCGGGCAATGGCATGGAACGTGCCCGGATAACAGCAGCACCTACAAAGAACACATTTGTGTTGACATCGTGCATTGCTTCAGAGCATCCTTTCCTCCCCTGCCACTACACGCTACGCGGAGTGCCTATCATGTTACGTCCACCATGATTTTTGATGTCGGCGCAGCCAATATCAAGCACAAGCTTAAGTCGTAACGGTGCGATCGCATTAATTAAGCTAGGGTGGCAGCGATGACTTACAGCAATTGCACATCTGCATTTCACTGTTTCATCAAGAGCCCCACAGTATTTTTCAGCATTGACTGCCTCCGCATGTACCCTTATCCTTTGCTGCCTATTCGCGATTCTACGTTCATCATGACAACATGGTAGCGCAAACAAACCGCACAAGGGACACAAACTAGTGCAAACTAAAACTTGGGTTAAATTGTAGCAGAAATATATGCAAGTTAAAAAAAAACCAGGGAAAATAAGTTACAAGGGGAAGGAACAGCATCACGTATGGTCACCAGGTGTAGTCGAGGAAAGCGATCTCACAATATAAAAGTGATGAAAAGGGTGAACTGGCACAAATATCAGTGTTCCTCTTCATGAAAGATGCTTCAGCTACCTCCTAGTCCTCGCGTCATGATGAGCGTAAAAAAGAGAAGTGCATGTAAATTTTGGTGTGGAACCATGGTTTGCGCAATGTTCAGACAAATGCAAACTGTAGGCGCTGGCGTTAGCGCGTTGTAATGTACTCAAAAGCGCACATTCACGCAGCATTCAGTCTGTCTGGTATATAGCCCGGTGCGAGACAATGAATTTCAATAAACCGCATCCATTGGGCAGTTATTAAAGTGTTGGCATAATTAGTTGCGTTTGTTTGTGTCCTTTGTCCTGTTTGTTCGCGCTGCTAGGATGTCATAACGTGTTTCGAAGATTGCACACAAAGAGCCCGCGCACGTCTTTTCTCCAGTGGTTCATTGATGTTTGCTAAGAAACGACTCCCGTTTAGAACCAGTTGAACGCATTTGTTGTAAGAAAAGAAGTATTATTACCAAACTTATGCTTGCCGTAGGGAAAGCCGGATATGGCATATAACAGAACAATATTGCTCGTTTGTGAGCATTTTTAGGTTCCTGAAATATTTACATTACAATATCGCCCATGTCATTGCGTCTGCGGCATGTTTTCTGAAGAAGAGGTTTACACTCCTATTTCTTATTTATTGATTTCTTTCTTTTAGTTCAGATGACGCTGCAAGGGGCGAATGTCAGCAGTGTTGGTGAAACTCCCAATGGTATGCAGAAAAAAAATTGGCCCCGTATCCACATGTTAATCTGCAAATGTCATCGAAAGACGACAGTCTTTCGGGCGGAGAGAGTGAACAAGACATTTATTTGATGTTCTGCGCAAGAATGTTGGTGAATGGTATTCTGGAGACGCTGCGTTAGAGTGCCTCGAGCGGGCAGCGGAGGCGAACGAATGCATCAAGTCACGTCACACGTGAGACATGAGTGCCATCTGGGGGTTTTCTTAGAAAACAAAGCGCGTGGCTTTGAGTCGAGTGTGCGCGCCCATCTCAGAGGTTATAAGGTGTAGACCACAAGGCGACGGGTAGGTGCCACTACCGTCTCGTCTTAGTAAAGCGTTGGAAACACTCGCTTTTCCGTGCAAGCGTTGCATGGTCAGCGCAGCGTGATAAGCGCTACGGTACTTAAAATTACTTATGTATGCCTTTTCTACTAAAAGACGCACAAGCAGAATATATAAGTGTTGTTATGGTGCCCCAGACATACACAATATTTGCTTTTTAATTGACGATTACACAAGCATGAACGCTCTACCTTGAGCAACATTGGTGGGCGCTGGGGATGAGGTCAGCCGTTTTAAGTACCTGATGCCGTTAGGAGTGGACAAACAGACAAGTGTACAGACAAACAGACAAAACTTTCTGCGTCGAAGGTACCCAAGAAAGACTATCGTCTTTAATAAAGTGCCCATTCAGCTACATGAGTTACCATTCCGGAAGAAATATCGCCTGATGAACCACCACATCTTGCAGGTCAGCCTCCACAAGAATTCTCGTTGCTGCTTGGTGGCTGTTTTCGTTCCTACTGGTATCGTCATACACCGCCAACCTGGCGTCCTTCTTGACTCGAGAAAGGCTCCGGTCACCAATAGAAAGCGTCGAAGACTTGGCAAAGCAGACCGAGGTTCTGTATGGCTGTGTCCGCTTTGGATCTACACAGGCTTTCTTCAAGGTATGAGCTCGTTTCTGAACTTTATGCTTAATGTTTTTAAATGAAAGTTCATATGCATGAACTTCGCGAAAGTTGTTTGTGCCTCGCGAATTTTTTTGGTAAAATGAAAAACAATTATTGCAGAGTTCATCCTACTTGTTCATGATGAACACAGGGCCACCAAAGCGGAGCACCAAAGAAAAACAGACACATGAACTTTTTACTTCACTCTTGTTTGCTTGGTTTCATAGAGCGGAACTCCGAAATTCTTTGCCAGCAAAATTATCAGTAGGCAGCTTTAATAAAATTTATTTGTACTAATAAGTTATTGATTAAATATTCCATAAGTGTCATGTGAACTGGGCTTGAAAGTGAAGGTGCAAAATCAACAGGCAACATCGAAGTAAAAATGCATGTACACTGTTATACTACGCACGGAGGACATATTTGTGTTTACAAATCAGAATTTGTGTATACCTATATTTTCATGCAGTATATGTTAATTTTACATATATGTAACATACATCTGTGATTGTGTTCTAGAAGCAATTTTCGTTGTCGTGAAACCACGACACGACCACACGCTTCTACAATCGGTGGACTAGCAATCGGATATTGAGCCTGATTGATATTAAGGAAAGAGCTTGGTCCTGATGACTTCATACGGAATGAGCTGCTCGAAGTTTCGACGTTTTCGCAAGCACGTCCTAAAAATTTGGTCATTGACTGTGCAGCACTTTCGAGCGTGGTAAATTTTGAGTGTTTGTGACACACACATCAAATGGTACGCTTTAAGCGCAGGATTCCAAACATGAGACATACGAGAGGATGTGGAATGTCATGAAAGACAACCTGGTATCGTCCAACGCCGAGGGCGTTGAGCGGGTAGAGCGTGGAGGCTACGCCTTTCTGATGGAATCAACCAGCATAGACTATGTGGCTCAGCGTCGGTGCGAACTCACGCAGCTCAGAGGGCTTCTGGATTCAAAGGGATATGGTATTGCGATGCCACAAGGTATGTGATAACATTTATTTATCGTTTCTCCTGATGTAAAACGTACACGTACATATTACACAACATTGACTAGATTATTATGTGAAAATAATACGACGAGCTTGAGTTATGGTTGCACTGCTTATTTATGAAGTAACGTCACACAAAATGGTATATATAGGCCTTACTGTCAGGAGGTTAATGAACAGACAAGACTGCGGACAAAAAAATTGATCGGTTTCGTCACTAGGGCAAAGCTATGAGTGCAGTAGCAAAACCTTTTAATATCACGTGGAGACCGACAAGCATCTCGATATATTGAGCACGCCGATACGGCACTAAGAAGGATGGCTGATAACGCATAGGTCTGAGATGAACAAGTGTGATCTAGTTACGCCTTTGTATTTGAGGAATGCGCTGAAAAATGTCTGCAATGCAGAAGACGACGCTGTTGGATTTTTTTTTAAACATTAAAGTGTTCTATGCCGGTTTCCACTAAGACTTCAGTGACTTATTTCTGTCGCGGATATGACGTTGTAAAAATAACGTCACCACGTGAGAAAGAAAGAAGCATTCAAGAAGTTTTCCCATTGATCATCAAACCTCTGACTCTTGGGGAAACGGGGAAAACCACCAAGTATTTTACCAACTAAGGTATTGAGACAATTTTTGATTGACTGATTGATTGATTGATTTGTGGGGTTTAACGTCCCAAAACCACCATATGATTATGGGAGACGCCGTAGTGGAGGGCTCTAGAAATTTCGACCACCTGGGGTTCTTTAACTTGTATCCAAATTTGAGCACACGGGCGTACAACATTTCTGCCTCCATCGGAAATGCAGCCGCCGCAGCCGGGATTCGAACGCGTGACCTGCGGGTCAGCAGTTAAGTAGCTGAGCCACTAGACCACCACGGTGGGGCAAGGTGTTGATACAAAAGCTGGGCTTGGTATGAACACGCCCTATGTCTTTCACACATTCTCGTTAACTCCGCGCTTTTTGTAGGCGAACCTCGGAGGTGCTGCCATGTGTAAGTGCTTAAATAAGTAATGGAGCACAACACAGTTTAAGCATGGTATTCGAGATTGTGCACTGGCATGCAGTCTTGGAATCAATGATTAAATCTTCACGTTAGCAGTGAACAACCCTGACCGAAGGAGCATCGGAGAGTCACCGACGTAGTTATGTTTTTTTTTTCTTTCGCTGGAAATCCCTTTATGTATACGTCCTGTACAGGGTGTGGCCACCTGCCTGGCTAATGCCACGTTGGGACTGGGAGGTCAAGCCTCGCTTCTTGTTAGCGCGTAACCTCTCAATGCTGACGTCGTGCAGCTTTTACACGCATGTTACATGCATGATACGTTCCCCACCACCGACTACTTCATTTGTGATAGCAGTGGTCCCTTTAATAAAGCTGCTGCAATAAGCAATGCAGCAAGGGAACGATGTCGACGGGCGAACGTCGCGCCTAAGTGGAACGCTACTGAGACCAGCAGGACGTAGAACGCCGGCTCGCGTTCTTGGCTTAAGCTACGAACCTTTGTGTCCCGCGTTGCTGAAGCGCAGTTTATATGCTTGACCGCTCCCGTAGGTTTAAAGAGGGCACACCGTGCTGTTCCTCTCCATAACGGAAGATGTTTGAAGACGCGCTTAAAGAATAACAGTGCTTAGTGTGTGCCAGTTAATGTCATCTTTGTGCGCGAATAACGATACGATGTGTTCAGGTATATGACGAAAAATTCAGCAGAGTCCCCGCACCTGGGAATTAACGTTATGCGAAGCATGCGGAGGGAAGGTGACTGTGTTGCAACTTTTTTATTGAGCGACACGTCATGAAATGACGTCCCACTGCGGTGGTCTAGTGGCTAATGCATTCGGCTGCTGACCCGCAGGTCCCATGATCGAATTCCGGCTGCTACGGCTGCACTTCCAATGGAGGCGGAAATATTGTAGGCCGAAGTGCTCAGATTTCGGTGCACGTTAAGGAACCGCAGGTGGTCGAAATTTCCGGAGCCTTCCATTACGGCGTCTCTCATAATCATATGGTGGTTTTGGGACGTTGAACAACACATACCATTCAATCATTCATGAAATAACGCTAAATATATGTACAAATGTTGCACACGCAGACATATGTTGAAGAGTTAAAGAGGTTCATATAGCCTGTTGTTTGCACTTGCGCAACGATGCCAACTGAAACATGCGTATTAGCAACACACACAACCTGATTTGAAGCGCTCATGCTCGCGAGAATGCTGTGCCTGGACACTGCAACATAAACCGACTTCAGCGCATGGCAACTTACCACAATTGACGTTAACCGAACGTGACGGCTGTATCAAAGAAATACATAAGTAATGTTTATGAAACTACGTAGGCAATACTGCAACCACTACAGGCGTTTCACGAAGATTAGCGTCTATTTGAAAAGTATTTTCGATACCTGACACTGATACACAAGAAGGCAATCTTTGAGATAGTGGTGAGAGAAAAACAGGAATCGAGAGTATTGCTGCACAATAGATTCGAGGCTCTGAATGGTGTAACCGACGTTAGCGTTTATAATATGAAGGATAATCTTATTAGTAGTATTAAAAAGTGTGCAAGAGAATTCGGAGGTGCAGTCACTAGACTGAACGCTGGCAAACTATCAGAGGAGACAAAAAATGTCATTAAGAGATGACAAACCACGAATGCATAAAATATTACCATCAACTAAAGCTAGTGGAGATTTCGAAGTTATTAAATAGGCGTAAGGTAGCCGACACCAAAAGGTATAACATGGAGAGAATCGAGCAGGCTGTAAAAAGTGGCAGAAGCCGAAAAGCTGTGAAGGCTAACATGTGCATCGGCGAAAATTGAATGTATGCATAATAAACAAGTCAGAAAATGTCATACTTATTATATATAGAATAGTTGGAGTGGCGGAAAAGTTCTACAGAAATTTCTGCGGAAGCCGAAATAACCAGAAAGATATCGTAAGAAGCATATTAACTCAGAAAAATTCGACATCTTACCAGTAACAACAGGGAAAGTACGGAAAACCCTACAACGGAATCAAACTGCTGGTAAGGATGAGGTAACAACAGATCTACTGAAAGATAGCAGAGAAATTTTTCACTGGCCACCTTACAAACGCAGTCTCTATTGCACGGGAAGGGTACCAAATCTTAGAGGAACACCAACATCTTAATGCATAAGAAAGGAGATGTCATCGGAGTGAAAAATACAGGCTGATGAGCACACTGTGAACAATAATTTATTGATTACCAACTATTTACAACAATAATAGGTAACAGACTGAGGGCGACATTACACTTCAATCAACCAAATGACAGCTAGACTTCTCCGCAATAGACCACATTTATAGTGCCAACCAGCTGATAAAGAAACGCACGGAATACAACCAACTCCTATGCATAGCCTTCACAGATTACGAGAAGGTGTTTTACTCAGTCGAAACATCAGCAGTAATGCAGAAACCCTGGATTAGGCACATCTACGAACCTTGCATAAACAAACTGAAAGAAATTTACAGAAGAGCTACAGGCATCATAGTTTTCCACAAAAAATGCGACAAAATTTCAATAAAGAAGGGTGTAAGACAGGGAGACGCGATCTCTCCAATGCTAATCACCGCATGTTTACAGGCGGTTTTTCAGGGTCCTACATATACACGAGTTAGAAATAAGACTTCATAGGAAGTATCCTAGTAACCTGTGACTAGCTAATGAAATGGCCTTGATCAGTTACTCAGGGGATTATTTCCAGCTCACGATTACGGGATTGGACACGGAAACCAGGAGAGTAGGTCTGAAAATTAATATGCACAAAACTGAAGCGTTGACAAGTTTCGGCAGAAAAGAGCACATTGCGAAAGGGGGAGAGACGCTGGAAGTTGTAAATGAATGTCTACTTGGGACAGGAAGTAACCGTGGGGTCAAACCTTGAAAATAAAATAACTAGAAGAATAAGGAAAGGGTGGATCCCATTCGGCAAGTATTTTCGAATCATGTATAATAATCTACCACTAACCATCAAGAGCAATATTTTTGCCGGTACTTGCCTACGGAGCCGAAACCGGGAGGCTTACAGAGATGGTTCTGCTTGAATTGAGGACGACGCATTGACTGATGGAAAGAAAAATGATGGGAGCAACCTTAAGAGACAAAAAGAGAGCAGAGTGGGTCAGGAACCAAACCGGGGTAATGAATATATTGGTTGAAATTAAGAAGAAGAAATAGACATGGGCCGGGCACGTAGCACTAGGCAGGATAACCGCTGCTCATGAAGGATAACTGGCTGAAATCTGAGTGAAGGCAAGTGCTCGAAAGGGATGCAGAATTTAGGTGGGCCGATGACATTAAAAAGTTCGCAGCTATAACGTGACAGCGGAAGGCACAAGACCAAGTTTATTCGCAGGTCATGGGAGAGTTTTTTGCCCTGCAGTGGACATGCGTACGTCCATCTGTCCGTCCGTGCTTCCATCCATCTGTCCATCCGTGTCTGTCCGTCTTTGCGTCCGAAGAGCCGGACGGCAGCACGGACAGATGGATGGAAGGGTGCGCGAATGGACGCGCGGATGAACGGACGCACGGAAAGACGA